AAGTTTTATATACATACGTCAGTGCAAGCCCCCTAAACGTAGAAACCCCCCAGTTTGTAGTTTGTTAAAAATACACAAAATATATTAAGTTACGCCTCCGCAACTGAGCCTTTTGAAATTCGTATTATTTCTGAATTTCATGTAGATATTATAAATCTAAACATCAAATTCTTAAACTTAAAAATTATTATTTGCGATGGAGTCAAAATTCTAGATCTAGGCAAAGCCAAATTGAATTAGATCTGGAGAATCAATTTGAGACAGAACTAAACAAACTTTTATGAAGCTGCAGCGAGCTTAGAACACCTCTGTGATTGGCCCAAATATAGATGACGTATTTCCGCTATCTATTTTTGTCGTCTTACAGGGTTTCCCTCAAGACTCTTGGGTTTCCTTCGCCAGAAACTGTTGACTAGATCTCGCAGTGTTTGTTTTAAAAAAAAATTCATTTGTATAGATCTAAATCTTTTATAAACATCTCAGCCATTCTCGTGTCGTTCCAAGAATTTACACACACACACACACACACACAAGCGCCCACATGTGCACACACACACACACACATACAAGCACATACACACACACATACACACAAGCCCAAGCACGCACGCGTGCACACACACACACACAGGCACACGCGTACACACACACAAACACACACATAGCCAAGCAGTCACCGATGAAACCTAGTGACGTAGCTTACCACCTTGAGGTCTAGTCAACGGGCGAGGGAAGCCCCAGAAGACGACAAAAATAGATGGCGGAAATACGTCATCTATTTCACACTTGGGCCAATCGCAGAGGTGTGAGCTAGAGTGCTTTCTGTAGCTCTTCATGTGAAACAAACAGTTACGAAGCATTCTGTGTCATAATTTAATCACTATTTAAATAATAAAGCCGCCTGGCAAATAACACCATTATCTAATTATTCCCTGAGTGTACAGGTGAGTAATGTCACAGACTGTCACGGCAATCAGTAATCTCAGTAGTAACAATACAATAACAAGAACAAGTAAAGTAGGCCTACTGGATTGAAGCGAGTAACGGTGAGAATCAAAATAAAATGCAATTAAGCAACAACTAGCCTATCATGCAGACTCACCAAGCTAAACAGGAAAGGTAAACCCTAGAAATTCGATATTTGCACGAATATTATCAAGACTGCCTCCCAAATTATTCGAACTTCGCAACGTTGTTTATTTCATACTTTCATTATCGCCTCGCCATTTTTCATTATTGGGTAAGGGACGTAACGCATAAATTAGAAATCTCGGAAGTTGACGAGTTGTCTCAAACAAAGAACATGATTTTAATTTTTAGGCCTATTTTATTCACTTCTGCGACACAAAAATGTCGAAGTCTTCCCTTTCTTGGCCTATTTGAACATTAGCAGACCACCACTACTCCGGTAGCCTAAGTAAGTCCTAGGGCGCGCTGGATGATGATAGGATGTTAGAACTCTTACAGAAAGGGGGGGGGGGGTAGATACAGAAAAGGGGGTCAGCTAACCTTCAATTTTACCCCTTTCTTCTCCATTTACGAGATTTAATGCTATATTAGGGCCTATTTAGATCTAGATCTAGAACCGGCCAGAGACAATTCCCGACAAGTCGTGCAGTGGTATCCCCCCTCCCACACACACACGTACACACCCTTTATAATAATCTCGTTTCTTCGTTCATTTCAGCTAATCTATAACTTAAATATGGGGTGGGGAAATGAACATACTTTTGTTGTTGTTGTTGCGTCTACTTCCTCGACTGAAGACTAGATCTAGATCTAGATCTACATTTTAGAGCAAAAAACAAAAGCAAACTTAGATCTATAAAACCAAAAATCAAACAAACAAAACTCGACATGTATCAGCCCCATGTTAACAAAATACAACCCGGAGTACATTTTTTAAAAAATCGTAATTAAGTTGGCATACTTTTCATAGATATTTTCAATATAGATTAGAAAAACAGGTTAGAATTAAGAAAAGGACTCCGTGTAGAATAATAAGTTCGTGCCTACAATTTAATGGACCAGGCTACCTGTAAAATGTGTTGTTTAAAAAAATTATTATTAAGCCTATATTATAATTAATAATTACCCCC